TGTGTCCTTGTTATTTATTGTCTGATAACGGTTGTTAAATACGACCGTTAAACTGGCAAACATCAGTGTTAAAGAGATGCCGAAGAAAACGTATCGGATAGCATGATAAATGAAATGCTTTTATTCGCGAAAGAAAGCTGTAAATAACCACGCGTCTTCAACTACATGAAGAGCAGTTAATTCAGGCCAATTTCTCTCGTATTTTCCTCGGAAGTTTATTCCATCTTCTTCTGCGTCAGCGTGCATAACTGAATGAAATTTGGAGCATACAGTCTTACCTTCTTTGCAAGATAATGGTTCCCTTATTGTCTCAGAGGCCCTTTCTACACATTGCTGACACACAACATTCATGTATTGCCTAGACTTTAACAAAGACTAATTTTTTGAGGCAACATCCAAAAACTACGATAAGTTTGAAAATGAAAATTGATGTTAAAACATTAAACATTTTAGAAATTACGTCTGAGAGAATTGTCTTGTTTGGGCTAATCTTTGACATTTTATGATAGTAGAATTTTAGAATACTGTTTGGCTGGGTTTATTTGACGGTTTGACAGTTTAAAACAGTAGTGAGTAAATAATAGCCTCATAAAAATAGAGTAAAACCCAGAGTTGAGACAGGCGCGGGGACAAGGTGTAAAACACTAAGTTCTGTTTAGTTCTTTGGACAATATGTAGGCAAAGAAATTTTAAGACGAGCAAGAACTAAATTTTTTTAGTAAATCACTATGCTGCTAAAGAGGAATCTACCGTTAGGCTCTCTTCCTTCTTAGGTTCAACAAGTAAAATATCATTAATTATTAGAGAGGTTAAGCATGACGTTAACGTACGGCAGACGGCAAACGGCAAAGACAACTTCTGATTCTGAGTTCTTTTCTTCAAATCCGTAAATAAAGCACACAAAAATGGAATAACGTCTCCTACTATTCATTGCAAATACAAATAATTTCACTCTACTGTGCACACAGCCGAAGAGAGACGGCAAAAGTTTCATTTTTGCCGTTTGCCGTAAACGTCATGCTTAAGCTCTCTAAAAATCATGTTGGCCCGTGCTTATTATAATTAAACAAACTGTGTGCTGTCTTCTTTGATACTCACAGAAAGAGAAGTTATCCTGCAGCAGGAATCTTTAGTTTGAGACCGAAGAGTTTGCTTCCGAGAAAAAATACAACAAAACAGGTAAAATGGACCTAAATTGCCAAATAATCAATTTTCAATCGTTAAAAATGTATCGTGGATGTTTTAACATCTTGCTCATTATTTCAGTATAGTCGGTTTACCACAAGAGGAAGACAAAATTTGCACATAGAAGGCAAAGCCTTCTGACAAGTTATTCTTAATTAGTACTTTTTTAACATTAGGTATTGTATAATTCTAATATTTTTTTGATGAAAAAGTCATCTTGTTTCCAGTGGTAGCGTTCCCATTGTTTCGTTAGTATTCGGACATTACGCTTGAAAATTATGAATTTTCCTCTTTGCATAAGGTATCATGAAAATTTTGTTCAAAATGAGTTCGGTTTTAACACTCACGTTTTTAATAACATCTGAGCAATTCAGCTATAGCCTATTGGTTATATGATATTCTCTCAGATATATAGTTTAAAGTATTGGTCAGGTTTATGTGCAAGCATTGCAGGATTTTTTTTTTCATTCTTTGATATATAGTACTATGCTGTCTAAGAACGTGCGACCAGAAAGATTAAGCCACATATCTTTCATAAATGGAAAAGGAAAGATTGGAAAAGGTGTTTGAGTTAGTCGCGGTTTTATTTCATGTCGGGTGGGCTAACTCCGATAAATAGGTCATATACAAAGTGTAAATGTTTTTATATGTCACTTAGATTTTGCTAACTTTCTTCCGTTATTTTCGAAATTGTTCTTTAAGAAAACTAATAGATTCCGAATTCATGACGAACATTCATAGCAATGAAAAGTCCATACTTCTCAATAAGGTGGAAAGAAAAAAACGTAATCTAAAATCTTGGACAGAATTTTAATCCACCATGCCTCGAATTCTCCCTTTGTTTTGACGGATTATATAAACGGGCTGGATTCTTCGCATTATAGCGCTGGCCCTGTGGAAGGGGCGTCGACTAGTCAATTTTTTAAAACAGTTTTCCTTAGGAATCCATTTCAAACCTTCATTACTTAATAAAAGACATGAAGAGCAGTAGAATACGAAGATACTGGCGTGGAAATGAAATGTATATTACCATGTCTGATAAAACGTTTCCTTTAGAACGTTCTAAAACCTTTCTGGAAATAATTATTCGCGAGCCGAGGGTTTGATATGCATTAAGGCATTATGCAGGTTAATTCAGAAGTTCACCTTAAATATGTGGGCGGATGGTCTGCCAAAATTTTTAAAATTCCAGGTTTAGGTCGTTTAGCGTATGAAAATGTGCGTTAATCTTGGATGATACCGAATGCAAAAAAATCTTTGCGACTGTCCGACTTGAAGAGCATAGTGACCTTGTGTTTAAGACTATACAGTATATATATTTCAAAACTAATTCGGTTTTAATGCTTAAGGATTCAAAAGCCTTTCAACAATTTATCCGTAGTGTATGGGCTGATAGAATGTGAAAATAAGCTCTGATTCCCAAGTATTAGCCAGGTGTATGTGCAACGTATTCGGATCCTTTTCTGTGTCCTTGTTATTTATTGTCTGATAACGGTTATTAGATATGACCGTTAAACTGGCAAACATCAGTGTTAAAGAAATGCAGAAGAAAACGTACCGGATAGCCAGTGATAAATGAAATGCTTTTATTCGCGAAAGAAAGCTGTAAATAACCACGCATCTTCAACTACATGAAGAGCAGTTAGTTCAAGCCAATTTCTCTCGTATTTTCCTCGGAAGTTTATTCCATCTTCTTCTGCTTCAGCGTGAATAACTGAATGAAGTTTCCAGCATACCGTCTTACGTTCTTGGGGAGGTAATGGTTCCCTTATTATCTCACAGGCTCTTTCTACACATTGCTGACACACAACATTCATGTATTGCCTAGACTTAAACAAAGACTAATTTTTTGAGGCAACATTCAAAAACTACGATAAGTTTGAAAACGAAAATTGATGTTAAAAAATTAAACATTCTAGAAATTACGTCTGAGAGAATTGTCTTGTTTGGGCTAATCTTTGACAGTTTATAATAACAGAAATTTAAAATACTGTTTGGCTGGGTTAATTTGACGGTTTGACAGTTTAAAACACTAGTGCTACCGTTAGGCTCTCTTCCTCCTTGGGTTCAACAAGTAAGATATTGGCCCGTGCGTATTTTAATCAAACAAGAGAGAGAATATATCCTGCAGCAGGAATTTTTAGTTTGAGACCGAAGCGTGCGTTTCCAAAAAACACAGCAGAAAGGGTAAAATGGACCCAAATTACCAAATATTCAATTTTCTTTCATTAAAAATGTAACGTGGATGTTTTAACATCTTGTTCATTATTTCAGTGTAGTCGGTTTACCACAAGAGGAAGACACAGTTTGCACATAGAAGGCAAAGCCTTCTGGCAAGTTATTCTTAATTAGTACTTTTTTAACATTAGGTATTATATAATTCTAATATTTTTTGGATGAAAAAAAGTCATCTTGTTTCCAGTGTCAGTTTTCCCATTGTTTCGGTACTATTCGGACATTACGCTTGAAAATTATGAATTTTCCTCTTTGCAGAAGGCATCGTGAAAATTTGTTCAAAATGAGTNTCATCTTGTTTCCAGTGTCAGTTTTCCCATTGTTTCGGTACTATTCGGACATTACGCTTGAAAATTATGAATTTTCCTCTTTGCAGAAGGCATCGTGAAAATTTGTTCAAAATGAGTTCGATTTTAACGCTCACGTTTTTAATAAGATTTGAGCAATTCAGCTATAGTCTATTAGTTATATAATATTCTCTCAGATATATAGTCTAAAGTATTGGCCAGGTTTATGTGCAAGCATTGAAGATTTTTTTTTCGTTATTTGATATATAGTACTATGTTGTCTGAGAATGTGCGACCAGAAAGATTAAGCCACATACATTTCATAAATGGATTAGGAAAGATTGGAAAAAGTGTTGGAGTTAGTGGCGGTTTTTATTTCATGCCGGGTGGGCCAACTCCGATAAATAGGACATATACAAAGTGTAAAATGTTTTTGTATGTCACTTAGATTTGGCCAATTTTCTTTCGTTATTTTCGAAATTGTTCTTTAAAAGAACTAATACATTCCGAATTCATGACGGACATTCATAGCAATGAAAAGCCCATACTTCTTAATAAGGTTGAAAGAAAAAAACCTAATCTAAAATCTTGGACAGAATTTTACTCCACCATGCCTTGAATTTTCCCTATGTTTTGTCGGCTGTATTAACGGCCTGGATTCTTCGCATCATAGCGCTGGCCCTGTGGAAGGGGTGTCGACTTGTGAATTTTTTAAAACAGTTTTTTTGGGGGGGAATCCATTTCAAACCTTCATTACTCAATAGAATTGAATGCAAGAAGAGCAGTAGAGTGCGAGGACACTGACGTGGAAATGAAATGTATATTACCATGCCTGATAAAAGGTTTTTCCCTTCGAACGTTCCGAAACCTTTCTGGAAATAGTTATTCGCGAGCCGAGGGTTTGATATGCATTAAGGCATTTTGCAGGTTAGTTCTGAGGTTCACCTTAAATATGTACGCGGATGGTCTGCCAAAATGTTTAAAATTCTAGGTTTAGGTCGTTTAGCGTATGAAAATGTGCGTTAATCTTGGATGATACCGAATGAAACAAGTCTTTGCTACTGTCCGACTTGAAGAGCACAATAAGCTTGCGATCAAGACTATACAGCCCTACATGTTGCAAGAAGTTGGTGTATCGAGTTATGGATTTGAAGAGCTTGAGGAGTTGCTCGAGGCTCAGCCGAGAGCAACTCTACCTTCTGAAGTGTTCTTCAAACTTCCCAAGTGCATCATAAGTTCCCAGAGGCACAACCAAAAGCATGACCTAATTCTTTTTTTGATAGATAGTTGGAATAATCGAGGAACAACGTTATTTCGATGATGCAGTCATATTGTCATATCATGGTCATATGGCATTGTCTTTTCCACTTGATTCAACAGATCTCGTTCAATCAAGCTCGGGAACATTTCCCGCTGAGTTTGCAGGATGGCTTCACTTATTTTTGAGTTATTTTTTTGTAAAAAAAAAAAAAACCTCTTAGTCGGCGCGCTGGGGTATGTTATGGACGGGTCAATGAATGAGTGAGGGAGTGAGTGAGGGGGTGAGTGAGTGAGTGAGTGAGTGAGTGAGTGAGAGATGTATGTATGTCACACCAATCAGATTGGAGCTACTATAAACAACTAATCAAATTGTTGCTTATTAAGGTGAATCCTGTGTGTGGATATTTCATCGATCCTGATTTTAGAACGGCCATCTTTGTTTTTATACAAACAGAAACACGTTATTCTTCTGACGTTTCCGATGCTTCCGTTTACTATGGTTGAGCCCAGAACATTGTGAATGGGTTTCAAAAGAGTTCAGAATCGATAATCAGCCGAAGAATCATAGTCTTTGGTATACGCTAACATGTCATCAAGGCTTTGCCCCAGGAAATTTCGAAT